TTTTGCAAACTGCTGCACAAACCACAGAACGGAGAAAGCCTTTGGTCATGAGATACTTGTGAGAAAGTGAGCCTTGTATGGAAGATTCCCCTGAATGCCTACAGTATTCTACATCTTAAAAAAATATATTGTGGACGCTGCAGCCATACAAAGAGGGGAGGAGTGGGAGACAGGGATTTACAGTCTCACATAGACACAACGGGGAGGTTAAGACAAGCACAGTCATAGTCTGTAAAACTGATTGGCTCGCTCGGATCAGTCATCCTCATCGTCCTCTTCGTCTTCTGGATCTTCCTCTCCTTCATCCTCTAGATTTCGTTTTCTCTTTTCCCCTCGCGGAAGGTCTGCAAAAAGAGGCGAAGCGTGAAGCTCTGTTCAGTCTTGCGGAACAGCATTTGAACTGTGGCTTCAAGCCGCGTCAGCCACAGCTTGCTGGTGAACAAGCACAGACTAGACTGGCACCATTACAGAGCGGAGATCAACCCTGCCCAGTTTCTCATGGCACCCAGAAAAGCCTGGACTAGCACGAGACATGAACTATTTTCTATGCCCTCCAAGCATCCCACATTTCAACAGCCGCTTGAAAATGGGCTTTTTTTGTTGAGCACCCCCAAAACCTGCAGAATTCAGTCACTTGTGACCAAGCTCATACAAGATCCTTTGAAGTCACGCCAGCCGCTATAATCTGTCAATATTCATTCAGGTGTTTATAGTTTGTTATAACCAGAGGAGTCTGGACTCAAGTCAAGAAGCTCGGGTCTACTCTCCTCTCTACAGCTGAGAGAGGAACGTGTCTCCAAGAGCATTTCCTCACGCACACTGCTAACATGAGCTTCCGTGACAGAAGCCCTGCTCCTGCATGGACTATCACTTCAAGCTACTTAGAACTGGTTTTCTAGGCAATTTGCCTCTAATATTTGGCAGACTTGCCCAGCTTGGTTAGTGTTAGGAGGTACCGAAACCTGTTTCCCCATCACCACTGTGTGACCCTTTGGTTATAACCACTATTCAATAGTCAGCTTAGGTGTAAGCAACAGCTTCATAGTGCCCACAAGCAGAAACGCTGCACTTTCTATCAGGGAAAAGCTACAGGCAACAACAGCACTGCACTGAAGCTTGGGAAGCTCTACAAAAATCAGCAGTGCCCGCAAGCAGAAACGCTGCACTTTCTATCAGGGAAAAGCTACAGGCAACAACAGCACTGCACTGAAGCTTGGGAAGCTCTACAAAAACAGCAAATGTGTGAGACTGCTGCGGCAGCTTTGCCAGTGCTTTAGTTTGTTAGGATTCCACTCACCATCATCAGCTTCATCTTCTTCATCATCCTCACCATCTTCCTCCTCATCTTCCTCCTGGAGCCAAAACAAGATCCTTTGTTGCAAGAACCATGATCCCATGAGCAAGGTGTAATTCCACAGCAACATCTTCCTTCACCTCTGCTCCTGCCCTACTCTAGCCCCAGAGTGGTACAAGCCGAGCAGGGAGAAGCTGTCGGTTCCTAAACAGCTTCTTGCACCCCTACAAAGGGGGCTGTACGGCTTTATCACCTGAAGCCACGGGAAGTACAGGCTGAGCAATAAACAAGTCTGAACTGGCAAACTCTGTGAATCACGAGTCAAAAGGTGTACGGGAAAAGCCAGAGCGCATGGTGGCACTCCTCAGATCCGCCCGCAAAGAGGCATCTGTGACATCTGGTCAGATGGGTCACCAGATTAAGGGACAAACACGCTACCAAACATAGCAACGTGGCGCTGCAGATTTATACCGATGACAGAAAGCCTCACCTCATCATCTACTCCGTCCTCCTCCTCTTCACCTTCCAGATCATCATCTTCATCTTCTTCATCATCAATGACTTCTTCATCCAAATCATCTTCCTCATCATCATCATCCTCTTCCTCACCTTCTACCAAAAGGAGGGAAGTAAGTGTTACGGTTCCCAAATACTCGCTACTCCCAGACAATATGCTCGCACCTCCAACCCCAGTGCTACGCGAGCAATGGGCAGGAAATCAAACAGAACAAGCGCGCACAAGGAGTGCCAGCAACAAGCCCCGTCAGCTTCCGCAAGTCTCATTTCTTACCCAGCCTGCCAAAAGAGGGACTGGGGTTACCCAGACAGCCCCTACTTTAGTGGCAAGCTATAATGACCATTTATTTAGCAACGTGACCATGCAGAAGGGGAAAAGGGGTTGTTCCCCAGCAAGACGACCAAGAGGAGAAAATCCTCACCTTCCCCATTCTCATACTCATCTTCCAGTCCATCCCCATCTGCTTCAGGGTCTGAGTCAGGGGCTTCCTGGTCATCAGCATCAAATCCGTCTAGGTAGGTGAGCTGGGGCAGAAGGGTGAACACGCTCTCCCGGTAGTTGATGAGCATTGTCACCTCACAGTTGAAGAGGTCCAGACTATGCAGGTTTGGCAACTTTTTCTACAAAGATCAATTCGTTAGATTATTTACAAGTTGACACTGTCTGACGATCAGGCAGCCATCAGAGGACAGATGGTTTGCTACCCAGATCTAGTACAGAAGTGTCCTTGCATGCATTATTTGCACCATGTGCTCCTCAGATGGAGAGAAGTTATTGCTCTTGCTAACTCTAGGCAAAAGAAGATTTCCTTTCAGCTCCTCTGTCCTAGTTTCCCCTTCTTGGAGCCAGTGAAACCATTTGCAAATCTTACACCCTTCTGAATGGGGTGGGCAACAAGCACAGAAAGCCCAGCTCTCCCAGCAAGAGCAATCACTGAGCCGGACTCATCCTGCCCAAAACGTCAGGCAAAATACCGAGAGCACAACACAGGAGGACCAAAGCACAGCGCCTGCAGACTGCGCCCCGTGTGCCTTTCAGCACAGCCGCAGCAGCTCTCCCGGTCAGGCCATCGCACCGTGCACCGGGTCAAGTGAAGGAGGAGTAAAACAGTTTCAAGCTCTTTCTGGAGGGGATGGAGGGACCAAAGGCAACAGCTAATGAGGCAAATGCCCCAGATCAGTCCCTTCAGCCACAGAGGCAGGATCACAAGGCAAGAGCCTTCTTTGGGGCAGTTCAGATGCAACGGGAACCCCCTGCAATGCATGCTGTGACAGCACCCAGGGCGAGAGGGTCCCAGCCCAGCGCAACAGCGCCTTTGGACTGATGCAATGCACACCCTCACTGGTGTCCAAGCAACTCATCTCCATGACACCCCAGGTGCCACCTACCTCAAACTGCATCCGACCCATTAACGGTCCTTTCTCAGATGGACACTGAGCACTGCATCCACAGTTTTACTCATCCAGCCCAATTTCATGCTTCTTTTAGCAACTGGCTGCTGGTTTTCCAGACAGAGGAGCCATTAACTATTAGCCCAGCCTCAAATTGGACCCACTCATCTGTTCCCATCAGAACCACGAAGTGCTGTTGGAACAGTTACCAAGACGTTGGACTTCTGCTGCACAGACACGCTTCCCAAAGGAAACAACGTCATCCCTTAGACTCCAGCACAGCCTTCCACTCACCAAGGGCTCCAGGGTATTGATGTCTTTGATCTTGTTGCCGCTTAGATTCAAGTGTGTCAGGTTAGGAGTTCTCTCTGCAAGAACTTCAAGGCCACCAGAAATCCTGTTATCACTCAGCTCCAGCTGCCAGGAGGGAATATCATATGGTCACAAAGTGTCTCGGCTTGCGACATGGGGAATAAAATTGCCCTGAGAACCGGACCACAATGGGCACCCAAGTTCCAGACCCTGTTCGTTACATCACGCCATAGAGCAGCAGTTCAAGTTTTCACTAGAAACCCCTTTCCCCGCAGTAACGCAGCACTCCCAGCCACTTCCATTCTGCAGGACATAGAGGTACGTGTCCTCTTAGCTATAACCGCATGTTCTAAAACCCAAATACTTATGAAGTTACTGAAGCTTCTGACAGTAGCACAACAGCAAAAGCAAGAGACAAAGGACACTAAACATATTAACGAGCTCAAAGGCATTTTGTTGCATACTAAAAAACCACCTCTCTCACTTGCTCAGGTTGTAGGCTGCAGTGCAAAAAGCAAAATCAAATGGCCTTTTTCTGGCAAATGCAGGAAAAACAATTGTCACCAGAGACAGGGCAGCAGAAGTCTCAGAGCAAGAACTACTGGAGATGGGACCACAGATCTGACTCACCTTCCGGAGTTTGTTAAGTTTGGGGAGATTGGAGACGGACAGCAAGTTGATGTTGATCATGCTGAGGAACTCCAGGTTCTCGAAATCTGAAGAGAGACCAACGATCTTCCCATCGTCCGAACGGCAGTTATCAAGAACCAGCTCCTTCACCTGCCAACAGAGACACCCAGCAGCTGTCATCACACCCGGCTAAGTCTCACCTCGAGTCTGTCAAGCTGACATCACGTGGAGTGACCGACACTTCAAAGCAGCAGGTGTGTCTGAAGGTCCTCCCTACTCACATTAAGGGACACGCAAGATCTTAAAGCCAAATGACTTTTGCGAGGGCACAAGGTGAGAATTCCTCACGGTGGTTAAGACTTCACCCTTTAAGCACGAGCCATGCAACATGCAACCACTGCACCACCCCACACCCAAGGCCCACCTTCTCCACTAAGAAGCATTAAGGGGTTGAACCATGAGCTTGCATCAAAACGTTTCATGCACAAGGCATCAAAAAGCTTTCAGTCACGCTTCAGGCTTCACTAACGAGAGGCCAAACAAGGTCATCTGGCTTTGCCCCCTTCAACTTTCTCCCCCATGCCACTGGGGTGCGGGAAAACGTGCCTCCAGAGGATTCGTTTCCCTGTGACAGCCTCCATGCAGAGGTGACACGTCTGCCTAGGCAGATCTCTAAGCAGATGACCTCAACCTCAGGCTCGTAGTGCAGGACCACTGAAGGCATCTAATATTTTGCCCAGCACAGACTACACACACAGAAGCCATCGCTACCCAGTAATTCAGCACAGAAATCAACCCCCCTGTGGCATCAGGAGCACGAAGCACCAGTACAGAACTGCTCCCCCCCTAAACACCTGGAGGATAAACATACCTGGCATCCCCCTATCCCCCAAAGCGCAGGTGAGTGCTCAAGCCCCAGCTCTCACAGGCCACTTCCAAAACTTGCTTTTACCCCACACATTATTCACAGCAAGATGCAAAAATCAGCCTTGGCCGGAAGGCTGGTGATGCTCTCCAAATTCCTCCTTCGCAGTGCTCCCATTTTACCTCTCTTGCTCAGATCAGCCAACTACTAGGGACTCATTTTAAAATCACTTTGCCTTACTGGCAGCAGAGTTTCGGGGCTGCTGTGCCATCTTCACAGCACAAGCTCCAAACGAATTAATGTTTAACACTCCAGAAGCGGCATCGCTGGTCAGGGCTCTGAGTTGAGCAGCAAACAGGCTCAGCCAGGAGTTTTGTAGCTGATCTCGTTTTGCTCCCAACACCCCAGACAAGCCTCCAACTGAACCGAGACTCTGTCACCACGGTGGGCGTAAAGGTGGCCAAAGCCAGCCCTCCACTGCGGTCGCTTTGTTGGTGCGGGCACAGAGGCGAGCCTGAACGTTATCAGGTTATGAACTAACCTGGCTGAGACCAGCTTTAACCCGGACCAGACCCCTGCCCTGGACTGCAGAGCAGGACGAAGCAGCCAGGATGGCTTCTTCCAGCAGCAACACCGGCTCGCACCGGCTTTGGTCGCAGGGCACACACGCGCTGACCCCGCTCGCTCTACAGCCTGCCAGTCGCTCAAATTCCTGGTGTCAAACTAGAGGAGACCCGCAGCTTGCAGCCTCAGAGGAACACCTCTGCTCCTCAAACCGTTCTCGTCCTGCAAATCCCTTTGCCATCCACAAAGCATCTTCAACCTCTACCAAAAGCTCCACTTACACCCCATTTTCCTCATGCTCGATTTTAAGCCGCCCACGGCCGCACGCT